AATGGAGCTGTCTGTATAATGATAAAAGGAAGCCCTCCACAGTTTCCCATAAATCTCCACCACTTGTTGCCGGCTTCTCTGGCTTGGATTCTAAGAACATTTCATTATTACCAGGTCAGTTACCATCTTTTCCTCCAATTCACTCCCATCTAGCCATAAGTGCAAGACTCCTAAAACCTGGCCTAACATGTTTCAACATTCCCTGCTTCCTCCTGCGTCCCAGCCCAATTCTATCCACCAGCATCTCAGGAGAAAAGCAAACTCTTAAAGTCACAGCAAGATCTTACGGGCTCTAGAACAGTTTTCAAACTGGAAGCATTCTACAAGTTTACCTACATCAAATCAAAATATCCGGGAACATTAAAACACAGACAAATTCCCAAAGTAATTAGTGTAGGCTTCCAAAAGACCTGAACAAGGATCTGTTGAGGACTTTTTGTTTTTTCCTCAGTGATCAGATAGAACAACTTATTGATCATTTAAAAAATTATTTTTTAGATTTTTTATAGACCTCCCCATCCCCAGAAAGAACTTCATAAACCCTTCTTATCCACAACTGCCTAAGCCTAAGTATTTTCTCTAACTCTTGATAAAACTTATCAATGACTATATATTTACTGCACTCCATTAAAAACATAGATATCATAGAATCAGATTTTTAAAAATCATAGCTTTATAAATTTATAACATGGTTTACTCTAAAAATGAAATTTCTGATACACTATATCTTTTCCATTCATCACCGATTACTTAAAAATCTCAGTTAATTATAATAATAAAGTTTCCTAGAACTAGTTTCATTAAGAAATGATGATAATCATAACCACATTAAAAAAAGAATAAAGGCAAACATCCATTAAGTGCTTACCATGTACTAAGCCCTTTTATATTATTTTCTCTGTTAATCCTCACAACGACCCTGTTATTGTCTCTGTTTTATATATTATAGTCCAGGACACTTATGAGCCATATTCACCCTGATCCTTATTTATGAATTGACATTCTCAGAAAAAAAGTTCAGGTGAGGCAATTAGAAAAGGGGAATATCTTTCTAAATCATCGAGCTTTTTCTCAATTAACTTGAAAAAGTCTTCGAATAAATCTATGAAGCTAGAGAGAAAATTATTTTAAAAGGTTAGCGAGATGAATGGCCTTCCTCGGAATTTTCTATCATAAATGCATTTCATATCTTAGATCAGGCTAATGAGGTTTCTGGGACCCCTCCTTTTAGGAAATCTCAGTACCTGACTGGTCCAAGCTGACCTAGGTCAACTTACTCTCCACCTGGGAACACATAGCCCTGGGCTTGGACGTAAACCCTCAGTTATCTCAGAGCCCTAAAGGTCACATACCACTCATAAGAATTGCTTGTGTATGGCATGCGGTGATTTTCGCCACCAAGAGATTACAAAATAGGAAAATGAACCCAGTATGTAGTAGTTCAAGATATTTTTAATGTGAGGCCTTGATTTTTTTTTTTTTTTTAAGTTTTTTCACAAACAGCCTCTCGGTATAACTGCATCTCAAGTGTAGGTACATTCAATAGAGAAACTTAGGTTCAGAGGTCTGAAAGGGATCTTAGGGGATGTTTAATCCCATTTCCTTAATGTACAAGTGAGACACTAGGCTGAGAGAAGGGAAGTGATGTTCCCAAGGTCACATATGGGAACTCAGGAAACTGACTCAAAGCCTTCTCTCCTGATCCTTTCGCCATACCAGGTCGCCCTTGAAATAACCCCATATGGTTGCGTCCAAGCATGGAATTACCAACACCTTCCGAACCCAGGTGATGATTTGGCAAGATTCAAAAGTATTTGCCAAATTCCTCTTGACTATAATTTTAGTTAACTTTGGAAGAAATAATAACAATGATGTGAAGACCTTATTGCAGAGATTTCAGAGCGTTCGGTTAACATTTCCTACTGATATAGGTAGAGAACTGACACACAAAAAAGGTTAAAGAAATGAGGAATGGAGAAGGAATTATATTACAATAATCAAGTTATTTAAAAAGTCTGTAAGTCCTGAAGCTGTGGCCAGATGGAGAAAGAAGGCAAAAGTGATTCTGTTTTCACATTTCTAGCCTAACTTTGTTCCCCGAGCTTAGTCTATTAAAAAATATCACATCACGACAATGTTCACAGCAGCGTTATTCACTATAGTTAAAAGGTGGACACAAGTCAAATGTCCACCAACAGATAGATGGATAAACAAAATATGGCATATACATACAACAGAATATTATTCAACTGTAAAAAGGAATGAAATTCTGTCATATACTGCAGCAGAGATGAACCATGAAAACATTATGCTAAGTGAAATAAGCCTGTCACAAAGGGACAAATGTTGTATGATGAACCATGAAAACATTATGCTAAGTGAAATAAGCAAAGGGAAAATGTTGTATGATATATACACATATATACACATATCATCATCCATGTATCGGGAATAGGAAACTTCATAGAGACAAAAAATAGAGTAGCAGTTAACCAGAGCTGAGAAAAAGGGAATGGGGAGTTAGTGGATAATGGGTACAGGATTTCTCATTGGGATGATGAAAATTTGGGAAATGAATAGTAGTGATGATTGTCAATGTACTTAGTACTACTGAATCGTAGACATTAAAATGATTAAAATGGTAAATTTTATATTATGTTTATTTTATCACAATAAAAAATCATATCAAAATCTGGATCATATCCCTTCATTTCTCCATTGGAATTCCTCAATTTTATTTTACGCATTCACTGTTATTAAAGCCCAAATTTCCTCTCAAGACCTGCTTACTACCAACAGAGTCATGGTCAAGCTACATATGTTCACACACATAGATAAATACAATGACACCTAAGTCAATTTGTGTCCTGCAGAGACCCATCCACAAACACGTATCCATCCAGAGACCTCCTACATGACAACTCCAACAAGAGGGCCCATGGCAAGACTAATGCAACCAGTGTTTCTGCAGATCCTGGCAACCAAACACCCTGACACAGACCAGAGTACCAGCTCGACCCTTGAATTCCTCACAGTGGGTTGGGGGAGAGAGTATATATTTAGTATATGTGTATTCTATCTGTGTGCATATACCAGGAAGACCTTCAGGAACTGCTAACCAAGTCTGCTCCACCAGGCCCATGAACAAAGAGATTTCAGCCTGTACATGGCTATTTGGTGAACTCAGCAATTGCACGTTACACTGAACAGTGGGTGTTCTTAATGCAAATACGTATAATTAGGAGCTGAATCTTTGTACCTTTACAGGACAAAGGATATAATAAGCAGGATGTACCACTTGTGACTTCTGAGGAAAAGAGAGCTTTTCATTTTTCCTTAAAATAATCTACCTCTCAAGAGGCAAAAAGAATCTGAGAACAAGAGTCTTTTGAAACAGAAGCAGGGAGGAGGGTGCAGAATATGAGTTTTGTGTGTTATAGTCATAACCAATCACCAGGCCTAAGAGGTGCCAGTTCTGTGCCATACCATGACCTTTACTCAACATTAATTTAAAGGTTTTCACAACCTCATCTTCTTTCATGGAAACCTTTTCATTGCCAATGGTCTGATAACTGAGTCCCATAAGCTTTTAAAGATCTCGAAAGTTTGCGAAGAAAAACAATCCCTAGTGATACTATCTATTGCTAACCCACATGGACATTCAGCACAAGCAAGCTGCTGCTTGTAAGAAGTCCACTTGACTTCATTCCCTTGTGCATCCTAAAGACACGTGTCAAGATCACACTGATATTTAGAGGCAAACATCTTTAGAATAAGGTTTCATTCCCAATCAAAGTGCTTAATTAGCAGAATCACTATGCTAGAGAACTGTCCTTGAATATGTATGCATTTTAACCTCCATGTTTTTTCTGAAGCACAAATTTTCCTCTCACTGGATGGTCAGGAAATGACTGGGCACAGAAAACCAACTGTTTTAGGCGTCGATCTACAAAATGAGTTCCGTCTTTCCAAGCAGGTTTCAGCTACCTTAGAAGATGATATCCCGTTTTATGAGGGAGACCAGTTTTTGGAGTCTAACGGCCTTTTCCCCATTCACTTTGGGTGAACAACGCTCCTATGGCGTAGCTATGGCTGAACTTTTTCAATATTTCCCACCAACTTCTTCTGCCCCCTCACGCCATCCCCTCACCCCAATTTCAGCTAACCATGTTTACAAGACATCAGCTAGTAAATCACAATTCAAATGAACCCATCCATTTGTTCAGCTGAAAGTCGCCTCTGGAGTTGCTCCATGTGAAACTCATAGGCCAGAGTTACATATGGCAGGCTCACAAATGTGAACAAGATATGATTTATTTATGACGACTATGTGTATTTGTTGCCCAGTTCCAGCAGGCTGTGGCTTCACTTGCCTGCCTCAGTCTGGGATGACCTATCTACTCACTGTGTCCCATTTCAGGTACTGTATTTCCATTCTGGGCAAACAGAGATGAGTGACTGGCGGAGAGGCCACACACGCAGACGCCCCTAACCCTGCTGGCCACATAACATTCTGTGACCAAGCACAAAGTTGGCCAAATGTAACTTGCTGCAAAGGTTTGCCACGTACAATGATTTTCAGTGGAGAGTGGAGAAGTAGCTGCTGGAATGACTGACCATGTGGGGTTCATTAAGCTGTTGTGTATTTACCCACAAGGAAGGCTGGGATGTTTGTGAAATGCTCATTTCACACATTTCGATGCCCCATCATTTAGCAAAGATGCTGCAAAGGTGAATGGCAGGTAGGCATCGGAAGGTCCAAACATGGACTTCAGCTGAAGTGCTGTAAACTTCTGCCTTCAACAGTCTTCCTCTCTTTACCCCCCAGTTGTATTTATACTTTGAAAGAAGTTAACACGAAGCAGTAGTCACCTGGGTGTGCTCAATTTTTGACAAGCCTTAGTCACTCTGTACCCAGCAGAACAATTCACATTATAGTCGAAATCCTGTGAAGATTCTGCCACACATGCTAACACTAAAATACCAGTAGCTCCACTTACCTTCTTTATTAAGCCTCATAACCTCCCTGCTTTTTCCACCCTCTTTTCCAGCCTCTTCTAAATCTACATCTGCAGATGAAAAAGAAAAGAAAAAAAAGAAAATAAGGATAAAAAGCAA